TGAAATTTTCAACAAAATTTGTGGATTTTTATTGAAAATTTCAGAAAGTATTCACCAACCMAAAATTTGGTGTCAATCCAGTTCAAGATGGCTGCCACAGCTCCAAATGGTATCAGAAAACACAAAAATGGKGGCAACACAATCAATTTTACTACAAATATTGATGTAAAATCTGTTGTATTAGCAGGTGAGAGTCATTAGTAACTCATTCTGACTGTGACATCTTACCGCATTAAATTTAGCATAACAGTTTCAAGGTTTGACCAAACAATTGTAATCACAAACATTTTTTAAATGAGGTGGTGAGTTTTCCTTCAAGGAACATTACAATTTTAACACTTTTTTTTGCGTATGTTTAATTTATGTATCTGGATAATGAAAGTGAAAAAATGTTGCACAGCAAATGACACGTTGTCAAGTGAAAGTTACTAAAATAATAATAAAAATACAGTACATTCATTTACAGTCAAGAGCTTTTCTACACAAATTTGAAGTGAAAATAAAAACGCGGGTTGTTTTCTCATGCCTCTTTGCTGACTGGTCTGGTGAACCAGTCGGGTTTGGAAACAAACGCCAGCTCCAGAATGATGACGCATCTTCCAGCGTGACAGACTGAAAATGTGCCGGTGCCAGCCAGTGGACAATGGTCCTGCTGCTTTGGGGGCTGGCTCAGTCGTTGTCCCGCTCTGCTTAAGCAGACTTAAAGATAATTCCACCAATGGTTCCTGCGAGCAGCGGCTCAGTCTCTCTCACCGGGAGAGCTGATTCCCCCCCCTCTGCCTGGAGCCATGGCCTGCCGAGAGCCCCTTTCTCCCCGCGCCCCCGGATAGCACGGCCTCGGACACGGCAGCCGGAGCCATGGCAACAATCTCTGGGGCTAAGCCCACTGGGCCCGGTTGCCAGGCGCTAAGATACACACCCGACACACCAAGGGTATGTGTCTAAGTGGTCGAGGCAGGAGGGGGAGATGAAGGAAAAGGGGAGAAGTCAGGCGGGGGGCAGTGGTTTTGAGTGACAGCTCAACTCAACAACATTAGCCACATGTAGCACGTTCTTGTTCTCATGAAGTCCGGTTTAACTGCGCTGTGAATATTGTTTAACCCAGTGATGCCCAGTCCTGGTCCTCAAGTGCCACCACCCTATGTTGTGTTACAGGTGTTTCTCTGATTCAACACACCTGATTTGAACAAAGAAGTGCAATGTGGGCACCATAACAAAAAGAAAAGAACTGCTTCACTGCAGTGTTAAATCAACACTTAAAGAGTTAAACTTAACACTGTGTCCGAGTCTATTTGGTCTTTATCTGAATTGGTGTTAATTTAACTCTTTCCATAGTGTTAAATTTTCAGAGTACAATTTAATTTTAAACTAAGTTAAAAATMAACACTGACTAACACTGTACAGTGTTAATAAAACTTAACACTTCAAGTCAAATAACTCTGATGAGAGTAACTCTGATTCTAGAGGTAATAAGATGTGAACTCTGATTCTCATGCTTTTCAACACTGCATTGAGTTATTGATGGTTAACACTGGAYGTTTCTATACCACCTAACTGGAGTGTTAAAATTTCAGTGTTAAACTTTTGGGTGTTGATTTAACACCCCCTAGTGTTATTTTAACTCTTTCTGAGTAAACTGACACCCAGTGTTGGTGTTAATTCACAGTGTTGATTTCCTCAGTGTTGTCTCAACACTGGACAGTYTTAAATAAAGTCCACCCACTGYTAAGACTTATTTAACACWTAACAGTGTTGTTATACTGMATAACACCATGCAGTGTAGAAAGTAGTATTCTGAAAAGCCCCGCCCTCTTCCACATCATGTCAGACAGACCAGTATCTTTTCAGCAAGGAATGCTGGGTAATCTTGTAGAAATTATGTGTTTGTATGTTTATGACTAAAAAAGTTCATGAGAGTAAAAATGAGTTGTTCTGGTTATTTGTCTTGTTCAGTTTGATCAAGTTGTTCAACTTTAAGTTTGTGTTATTGGCCGTACATCGACACAATGAGTGAGAAGTACTTCCTGGTGTGTGAAGGGTGACTCCATGACTCTATCACTATAAGTTTCTTTGTTAATAATAATACACTGGTGTTACTTTTAACACTTTATTTTAACACTGTTGAAATGTTAATGTGACACCCAATATTGTGGAATATTAAACACTGGCTGGTGTTAAATTAATAAAAAAAAATGTGTGTTAAAATTTAACACTTTCACAAATGTTATTTTGACACCAGCGAGTGTGAACACATATAGACATGTTGTTGGTGTTGAAATTAACACTGTGGGTGTTAAATTAACACTGGCATTTTTGCTGTGTGAGAGTTACTTGACTGTGTTGATTACTTACTCTTTTGCTGTGTAGAGGGGCGTAAAGCAGACACTTTGAAGTTTCATTAAAGTGCACGTTTAACAGTTTAGTGTTAAGATCAGCTCTTTTTAATGTTGCATTAACATTACACAGTATTTGCTGAATAAGTGTAATGGAGTCGACCTTCACACACCAGGAAGTACCTCTCACTCATGGTTTAAGATCTATGGCCAGTAACACAAACTTAAACTTGATCAACTGATAAACCTGAACAAAACAACTAGAACCTAACTAGAACTAATTTTTACACTCATGAACTTCTTTAATAGTTATAAACACGCAAACACWTKATTTCTACAAGATTACCCAGCATTCCTTGCTGTGAAAATACTGGTCTGTCTGACATGAGTTGGAAGAGGGCYGGGCTTTTTCAGAATACTTTTTTCAATACTGCATGGMGTRATATAACAACACTGTTAAGTGTTATGTGAGACTTAATCGTGGGCGGAGCTTATTTAACATTGTCCAGTGTTGAGACAACWCTGAGGAAATCAACACTGAATTTACAACACTGGAAGTCAGTTTACATGGTAAGTGTTAAAATAACAGTAGGGGGAGTTAAAATAACTCTGAAAAGTTTAGCACTACATTCTAACACTCTGTTTTTTTACTGTGTTCCTGTCAGTGTTCACAGTTTGGACCTGCCTTTCTGTCCAGCTTATTTGCAGTGCACTGTGGGGGCTGCGAGGGAACCGTCTCCCCTGCAGAGCTGGTGATGCGTGCGGGGGCCACCGTCTTCCACCTGCGCTGCTTCACCTGCAGCGTTTGTTCCTGCCGCCTGCAGCCTGGCGACAGTTGCGTGCTCAGGGACGGACGTCTTCTTTGTGCAAGAGAGGACTACCACCAGTGTGTGTCCAGTCCACTGTCTTCAGACACAGGTACTGAAGCTGTACACGCCCCAAAACAAACAAAAGAACCACCTTTTGGTCTTCTTTAACATAAATAAAAATGAGTGAAACACAAAGGATGTTTCACTTGTATGTAAATTAAAAATGTAAAAAAAGAAAAAAATCTACGAAGACTTAAAAATTTCCTGGGACTGTTTCACTCAATCCTATTGGTTTACGTGCATTTTAGAAATAAGCATTTATGAGTCGAGTCAACATCCTTTATTAGCTTATTTACTGCTGCTAATTTTGAGTTGAACTCATTTTAAAGTTAAGCTAGAGAATGTGCATTTCCTGTGAAAATGCTGAAAGAGTTTTGCTGAACGCTCCTGAAGAAGCTGAAAGTGTTTAARAGACAAACTGTTAATGCAAGTTCAATTTGTTCAAAAATGACAGTAGCAGAAAAAAGTTGAAATTAACCGAGAGACGGTGAACAGAGAGCAGAAAAAGCTCACATTGACAGAAAAACAAGAAAATAATGTAATCATTGCAAGGTGAATATACAGTAGATGATAAAGGCAAAAATGAGCTGGAAATAGCTATAAGTTAAAAAGACAACAGCTGAAATGAGCAGAAATCAGACAAAAGCAGCATAAAAAGCTTAAATTAGCAGAAATAAATTGACTGAAGCCTAAATAAATTTAACAGAAGAATAGCTGAAAGGAGCAGAAAGATAGCTGGAAAAACAGAAAACAGCTAAAATTAGCTTTTTTCTAATTTTTAGCTATTTTTCCTTGTTTTTTAAGCCCTCCCCCCACTAAATACTGCTTCATGTAACTGGATTTATTTTTGTTTCATGCATAGAATAAGTTCAAACAAATCTGAATATTCGATAAAATAAAAAATACCTAACAAAAAGTTTGACCAACTTCATTGAAATAAATCAGATTCAGCTCTAGTAAGAAAAAGGATAAAAACAAAAAGTTTATTTTGAGCCCACTCAGACTTATGAGGTTACAGCAAAAAGTCATTTTATGTTTATGCAGCAAATTACTTTTTACAGTGCAGGCATTAAAAACTGTTTCCTAGCTACTTGTAGAATTATTTCTGGAGTGTTCAAATGTTGTTGTTCTAGAAAACTGCTTTAATTACTTTAACAGTGTCAGTTTAAAACTTATAGTTGTAATCATTTATTCAAGTAATGTTTCATTTGTGCATGACTGATGGTGATTTAGTAAATAAATCATTACAGGGTGTATCATAA